TATCTATCAATTTTTATTTTCAAACTATAGGTTGTTTTCTTGTGGGACAAATAAGGAAGGAGAATCATACCTGGTTGAGTGGAATGAAAGTGAAGGAGCTGTAAAGCGTACATATCAAGGTATTGGCAAGCGATCAGTGGGTGTTGTCCAATTTGATACCACCAAAAATCGTTTCTTGGCTGCTGGTGATGATTTCTCTGTTAAAATCTGGGATATGGATAGTGTAAATCTTCTAACAAGTATTGATGCGGATGGTGGATTGCCGGTTAGTCAAGATATGAGCATCATTTTCATACTGATCCTGATAATATGCTTGCAATAAGCTTATTACTTTAATTTCCAAAATCTGCAGGCTTCCCCTTGCATAAGATTTAACAAAGATGGTGTACTATTGGCTGTTTCAACGAATGATAATGGCATCAAGATTCTAGCTAATGCAGAGGGAATCAGGATGCTCCGAACAGTTGAAAATCGTACATTTGATGCTTCTAGAGCTGCTGCTTCGGCTGCTGCTGTGAAGGTATAATATTTCAAATATTCTGTCTGATTTGTTTACTTTATATTTTCTCTAGCTGTGATTTTATTCAATTATTTTCCTGTAGGCTCCACCAATAGGTTCATTTGGCCCTACTGCTGTAACTGTTGGTATGAGCATTGGAGATCGGACTGCCCCAGTTGCTGCCATGGTTGGAATTGTAAGTGTCATTATCTTTATGGCAGATGATCTAGCTAAATAGATTTCATTTAGTTGGTATTACTCTTGTTCTTAAGTTTTGTCGATCAATGATGTTTCTTATGGTACTATATTTGGATATGGGACTAGATACATGTTTGACATTCATAAGCAGTGTGATATTCAGTGACTTACCCTTTCTTTTATTGACAATTTCAGAACAATGATAGTCGAGGTCTGGCTGATGTAAAACCCAGAATTGCTGATGAATCTGCGGATAAATCTAGGATCTGGAAACTTACAGAAATCAATGAACCAACTCATTGTCGTTCCTTGAGGCTTACAGATAATCTAACAGCTTCAAGGGTATGTGTCTTGCTCAAAATTTTCTTTCTTTGGTCTAACAATTTAACTATCAAGTGAATCTTAAAACTAGTCTTTAATGTTTGTTTGAAGTTAACTTTTAATTGAACTTGGTAGAATAATAATAATAATAATTTGGAAAAGACACCATACGAATGTATGTTTCCAAAATTGGTAAGACTTTTTTACTGAAAAATAACAACAAACCAATAGTAAGGACAAACTTTAGTATTTATCAGAAGTACATAGACTAAATTTAGATTTGACAATATTGTGATCTAATTTAGTCTAGGTCTCAAAGTATAGAGGCCAAAATGGCATTTTAACCAAACATATTAGTTTCCAGTTTTTTTAGTTGATAGTAAATCTTCAGCTTATATCTAGTGAAAAAACTCCAAGGATTTCATATTTGTTGTAAATAGCTTGAAATTAGGTATGAGGGTAAAGAATGTAGAATTTACGTTATTCTAGCCTGATACTATATTTATTCCTTTTATATCCGTATAGAAGCTTTATTGGAAGGTTTCATATATCATATGACCCATATCCTTTGTTAGAATGCACATTGCATAAGATGTAATGAAAGGGTAGTTTCTAGCGACCTCTCCCAGTTCTGTTATAATGGTATTTCACAAGATTGAGCTTTCTAATGCACAACACATTTTGGTTTTATATGATCGCATTTTTTCCTTGAATATCATCACATTTTTTAATATGATTGGTCAGGAAGGTTTTAGATTTCTCTTTGGAAGGCATCAGTTGCGCTGCATTAATTGAATATTATAGTAGTAAAAATCTTTCAGTGGATTAATTATATACCTTTTGTGACGTGCATGTATCTTAATTTACGATTCTGTTCTGATAAATTGATAGTTATTTCAGGTTTCTAGATTGATTTATACAAATTCGGGCCTTGCAATATTGGCATTAGCATCTAATGCTGTACATAAATTATGGAAATGGCAGAGAAATGATCGAACTGTGACCGGAAAGGTACACGTTCTTTGATCATGTGAGATACATGTAATATTAAGATTGATTCCTAGAAATCCTCTATTTACGAAGTAATGTCGTGTGCAGGCCACAGCTAGTGTCGCACCACAGTTATGGCAACCATCGAGTGGAATATTGATGACTAACGATATAAGTGATACAAATCCAGAAGATGCTGTCCCATGCTTTGCACTTTCAAAGAATGACTCTTATGTTATGTCTGCCTCAGGGGGGAAAATATCCCTATTCAATATGATGACGTTTAAGGTAGTTTGTTGTACTATATGCATAACCTGCCAATGTCTCTCTCTGGGGATGAAACCATGATTAGTTTATATTGGAAGTTGCCCGTGTTTAACCATGATTAGTTTACATAATCACAAAACTAATATGTTTGAAAAGTAATAAAATGCAAAAACTGGACGAGGTTGTTATTGTAGTTGTCAGATTGTTGGATATTCCAACAATTCTAACCAATCTCGTGTTATCTACTGGTTTTGCTTGGCTATTATTACTATGGTCGATGTTTTAAAAAAAATATTATTATTACCTTTGTCATGCCTTGGAGGAGCTGTGGCAAATATTGGATTACGTAATGATTTTCCCGAATTGCATTTTACGTGCATTTCTGTTCTTAAATGTGTTTCTCAATGCAGACAATGACAACATTCATGCCCCCACCACCAGCGGCTACATTTTTGGCATTCCATCCCCAGGATAACAATATTATTGCTATAGGCATGGAGGATTCTTCTATTCAGATTTATAATGTTCGAGTTGATGAGGTCAAGTTTTGTTGGCTTGATTTTTTAGTCTCCTAGTATTGGTTAATTTAAATTGGAGTTCGGGTCTTTGATAATCGTTAGCTTGCGTAATGCAGGTGAAAACCAAGTTAAAAGGTCACCAGAAAAGAATTACTGGGCTTGCCTTCTCGAATCAACTAAATGTGCTTGTATCTTCGGGAGCTGACTCTCAGGTTTGAACTCTGTTCTTAGCGATATTAGTTACTGTATGGCCTTATTGGGAACTTCTGACAAAGCATAGCTCAAGAATTGAGCATAGAAATCCACGAAATTTCATTTCAGGCTTGGATAAGACTTTGGAAGGGTTATCTGCACTTGGAAGAAAAAGTAGAAAAAGGAATAAATATAGTGATAATTTTATTCTTCGTCGCCTTGTAATGTTTTCGTGTTCCTCCCTTGTTTATCTTTTTGTTTGCTTATTCACACCCATAGGCTATTCGGTCTCGTAGTCGCATGCTGCATTTTTTCCTACGGCTTATGCTTGAGCTTGTAGTCTTGGATCATAAGTTTGCTTCTTTATCCTTTAACTTGTTTATATATCATAATCGTTATTATTTTTGTAGCTGTGCGTCTGGAGCACCGATGGATGGGAGAAACAGGTTAGCAAATTCTTACAGTTTCCAAACGGTCGAACAGCTCCTCCTGTTGCAGATACGCGCGTTCAATTTCATGTCGACCAGACACACTTGTTAGTCATTCATGAAACTCAGATAGCTATATATGAAGCACCAAAATTGGAATGCCTTAAGCAGGTACGGTATCCAGAACAATGACAAATTCAAGAATCAAGAGCATACACGTGCACGTGCTCTTTTCGTTTCCTTTTTTTGTAATTGGTAAGAGATGATAATTTTTGCAACTAATTTCCTTCAACAGTGGCTCCCACGAGAAGTCAGTGGCCCAATCACGCATGCTACCTTTTCTTGTGATAGTCAGTCAATCTACGTCAGCTTTGAAGATGGAAGCGTCGGTGTTCTTACTGCTTCGACTCTTCGATTAAGATGTCGAATAAATCCGAACGCATACCTGTCTTCGAATCCAAGGTATGTTTATTCATTTTAAGATCAACTCACTCAGACGTGTACTTGCCAATGCCATGCACAACTTGGTAGTTATGCCTTTTCCATTTTTTCTGATATATTCCGTTGTGTTAATTTATGAACAGCTTGAGGTTACATCCTCTGGTTATTGCGGCACATCCATCTGAACCCAACCAGTTTGCATTGGGACTGTCAGATGGCGGTGTCATTGTACTAGAGCCATCAGAGTCAGAAGGTAAATGGGGAACCTCTCCTCCAGTTGAGAATGGGGCTGGACCAATCACTGCTTCGGGCACTACAGGTCCCACAGGTCCCGATCAACCTCAACGATGACGTCGAGCATAGGAGATGTTTGGGATTTTGAGCGAAAGGCGAATTGCCAATTAGGTTATGTAGATGTAGGAATACTTGAAGCAAGCATGGTAGAGCTTGTCGTACGTGGCATCATCATCGTAGCAAGCAAAGCCATGGCGTTGTGCAGTTGGTTGGTTCTCGTCCACGAAGATTCGGAGATGGACAATCATCAAAGGACACGGTGGCGTCGATGTAGGGGCTGAGAAGATCGGGCACAAGATGGGAAGGTTGACGATGGCTGACAATCGAAGAAATCAATTCTTTCTTTCTTTTTGATCTCTAGTCTTCTGTGAGAAACGGGTAGATAACAAACAATCTAATGTTAAATTCTTTTATCTTTTTCGGGGTTTTAAGTTATTGATAGTTTCTATATTCCCACGGCCTAATTTGACCATCTGTTTTGTACATTAACATTATAACATCCCTTCATTTTCAAATTATTGTCTCTCTCCCTTGTTTGGCAAAAGCTCTCTGTTGCTTAGTTGCCCAAACTCTGTGGCTAAGGCTTCACCCACTCCCCTATGAGAGAGAGTTCTAAGATAATGACTCTCTTGGTTTAAAAGAATATATGTTTTGAACTGATAATTTTTTATAAGTAATCTGAAAATGCTATGGATAATAAACTGATCCCCAAGGCTTTTAAAGGGACTAAAATAAAGTTTTTACATAGTCATAACTATTCTCCTAGCCATAGCCATTCTTTTCGTTTTGGACTCTTACTATACTCATTAGAAATTGTACCAAGACTAAATTCCAACCCGAAAAAAAATCTACACCCATGCGAGGACATCCAATAAAATTGGAATGATACAAAGTAGATTAGCATGGCCTTAACACAAGGATGATACACAAAATCGAGAAATGGTATTAAAACTACACCAAACGCCGAAGAGGAATGGATTGTGAGATCCTACATCGATTGGGGAGAAGAACGAAACATTCTTTTATAAGAGTGTGTCGAAACCTAAAGAGAACAATATCTGTTAGCAATGAGCTTGTATTGTTACTATACAAAAAAAGATGAGTGGATTGTGAGATTCTACATCGGTTGAGAAGAAAAACGACCGAAACATTCTACAATATCTGCTAGTGATAAGCTCGAGTCGTAACTATACAAAAATGGCTAATATTGTATATATTGATAAAATGAGGGACTAATATTGTATATATCCTAATAATATTCCTGCTATCGACATGATGGATATAATATATATACCTTAGTTTTTTCTTAAAGGAACAAGGATCAAAGATAGCATTTTCATTTTCTCCTTAGTTTAACCAAAATGTATACAAGCAGAACCTGGGTGAGTGAATACAAGAGCACGCGTCTCTCTCTCTAATTCCGCCTTCGGCTGCCCTTCTTCTTTCTGCCGCTGCTGGGGGAAGATTCTTTTGCAGGTACAGGCAACACTGTTCCTCCTTTTATGTCATCTGAACCTGTAATTTTGTTGAGTGTCTTTTGGGCTTCAATGTAGACTGTAAGATCTCTTATCTGTAACATCACAATCAAATGCATCTAAGCGCAACTACTCAGACATGAAATACATATGAGGATTCAGCATCGTGTAAATGTCGGTACCTGTTCTTCCAAATCATGTATTTTCTCATTCCTCCATTTCAACGAAGCGAGTTCTCTGGCATACAAAGTGTAATTAGTTAATCCAACGGTAACTATTAAGGCGAGAACTCGACACGCTTGTAAACTATTGTTCAATAAGCAGAAGGTGAATTCGAACTCCCATGAAATTCCATGGACTGTAAAGGTTATGTACCTTTCTTCAATTTGCTTTGCTTTAGCCATCCACATTTCTTGGTTCTTGATGAGCTTCTGATTTACCTACAGGGGGGGAAGTATTTAGAAGAACACATAATGAAGATCAGTGTCAATGACCATGAAAAAATGTGATCATCCGATCTGTGGGAATGAGAAAATAGTTACAACTTACGTCGGAAACAACGTTTTTCTCCTTGACACAGTTTTCAAGTTTGTCATGAATGTCCTGAGTCTTGGATATTAAAGCCTCTTCCACTGCTTCAGAAACGGAAACTTCCCTTTTACTTTTTGCCTCCGCCAGCAGAGATTCATAGTACTGTCGAGACAAAAGTAAAGATCTTGATCACTAGATGCATGTGCGTATATGTGAATGCGACAAAAGTAAAGATCTTGATCACTATATGCATGTGCGTATATGTGAATGCTTAATTAGAGCTGAAAAGACAAATAATTATGGAAGTTGATGAACTTTATAAAGATATTACGTGGATGTGCAAAATGTTGATCTAGCGTAACAGTTTATACAAAAGATGCTCACAACCACGATAACATGGGTCAAAGTGGGAATGCTATGGGATATTGACTTGGAAGGTTCTGAACACGTTATTTGTAACATCTCAAGCCCACCGCTAGCAGATATTTTCTTCTTTAGACTTTCCTTTTCGGGCTTCCCTTTAAGATTTTTAAAATGTGTCTGCTAGGGAGAAGTTTCTACATCCTTGTAAAGAATGCTTCGTTCCCCTCTCCAACTGGTGTGGGATCTTACAATCCACCCTCCTTCGGGGCCAAACGTCCTCGTTGGCACTCGTTTCTCTCTACAATTGACGTAGGATCTCACATTATTATTTGATTTAGAAACAGTCATATCTGGCCAATTTGAAACCAAAATATTCAGCAATGCTAACTTGCTCGAGTCAGCTGAGTTTGAAGTCTCAGATACTTGTGCATTGCTGGAGTCCAGATAAATTACAAAGAGGCAGTCATATTTCAGCATTTGTGGTACACTATGTCTTGTCTCATCTTATACCAAGAATTACGTCTATACAGGGCAATTATAAAATGCTAAGAACCAAAGGATCAATGCTGTCAAATATTCAACTTTAACTTCCGAAAAAAGTACTCCAGAAATTTGAAATATTATATAAATGATTTGACATAAACTAATATTGGGAGCAAAAGATAGTGTTGAAAGCAGAAAGAAATATTTAACAAAAATAATATGCAGTATAACAATAAGGTGCAAGATAAATCGGAGAAGCCCAATCTAAAGTAGGGAAGTTGATTGCATACTTGTCTCTGAGTTTCCAGCTGCGTTGCAAGAAGCCGATTATACTCATCCACAATCTGTTTGGAGATATATGAATTAGGAATAATGTATGGATAATGTGATTAAGGTACTAAATGCCAATGCGAATAATTTGTATAATTCAACCTTTAAACCCTCAACATCACATGGATTAAATTTATGTTTCTAAGTCCATACAATTCTCAGACCATAGTTGCCTAACAGAAACAACATGTCTACGGACTCGCACAAAAATAGAATGCATGATATATATATGACAAAGAATTGAGTCGGAAAGCCATACTGCTTCAACTTTACTGCTGTACAGGGCTTCATTGATTCCGGAGTCTTCATCATATTCACAAGTTCCACACTCTCCTTCATGTGAAATACAGTGTGAATTCATCTCTCCAAACTTACCATCAACTTTTGACTGGTTCAAGCGGTGAACATAAGTGTCACCAACATAATCCCAAATTTGCTGTGTTCTTAAATCAAGAGAATAGCAGTGATGCATATTCTTCCAATGCCTGATTGCATGCCCTTCCTTATACCTTAATCAACGTGATGCAAAAAGGCAGCAACTAATGTTACAAAGTATTTTGCCGATATCAATCTTCTTGAATATGTCAACTTAGAATATATAAGAAGAGAAATCAATTGAGCAAGTAACCTTCCACATCCTAGAAAGCCGCAGATCACACACACCCAGAGATTCTCCGTAGTTCCACAAATGAAGCAAGCTTGTTTCTCGTCCTGTTGCTGACAGAATCGACAGACCTGATAACTTGCCAAAAAATAGAAAGATGGTGTGATCTTCCAATATAACATTTCCATTGTCAAGGAAACGGACCAATTCTAAAAGGGTTGCCTTGAAGAGCAAAACTATGTAGAATCACAAAACTCATACAAACGTAATTTTTTGTATTTCACATTATTAATTGTTCCAAAAAAAAAGGAAAGAATCAGATACAGCAAGATATAGCTGTTGTTCTATGTCATATCATGAGAAGTTGATAAGCTCATGTAAGATAAGTTCATTGACATTTCAATCATGATGTAATTTTGGATTTACGAATTAAGATGTGCTCCTTACAACCACAAAGGCTCCTGCATCACCAGTATTTTTCAGGTTTTGCAGGATTTTTTCTTTTCTTTTTTTTATTTATTGAGAAAAAATGCTTTCATTTAAAAAAAGGAGATGAAAAAATATAAAAGTGCATATACGAAAACAGCCCAAGCAATGAGGTGATACTGAATTGAGCTCTAATCCAAAGAATAAGAACTAGCGGATAAATACAAACAGGCCCCAATCCAAAAAGAAAAAAGTTCTTTACGAATTTATGCAGTTGTTTAAAACATGGAATGAGAAAAACAAGGCTCAAATATCAAGGCTCTTGGTCAAGTGAGGGTCCAAAGGTAGAAATACTAGTACAAAAAGATAATAGAAGAAAACAGAGTATATACTCACCTGACAAGATAAAGAAGTCCATTTTGAAATGCAGGGACAGTGAAATGAATGGTCACATAGTGTGTGAATTATTCCACTAGTATCAGGATCAAATCTCTCTAACATTCAAATGTAGATTAGTAAGAAGAATTAGCCTATCAGAACTCAAGAAAAATAAATCAGAAACAGAAACACTCGACTCACCCAGGCAAACGGGGCAAGTAGGCAATTCAGTACATCCGTCAGGAGGCGACCCAGCTACCTCTGCTGATTCTGTGTACTCGACAGACATCAGAAACAGAATATGACATACCTCAGCCTAAAAATGAATAATATATGTGGCAATATTATATGACCATGTTCCCATTAAATCAAATAAACGACTGAAATTGCAGTTCTCGTACCTCGGAGGGAGAAAACTTCTTGCCATTCAACCTGCCAAAAAACCCATCGGCATCCATTTGGTTTCCAAGCTTAATCAAAACACTGTATCGTTCTTCCATACCATCGTTCCTAAAAATTCCATCAGACGACATCAATCGAGAGCGCAGCATGTGAAAAACAAGAAAAGTTTATCAAAACTACCACCAAGCACCCTTCTACCATATGCAGACTAAATTCAGACAATGGCATCACTTCAATGATCGCCTTTAACGTAGTTTACAGTTCCATCCAATGCATAAAAGAACAAGAAATTTCCAACCTAATAGCCATCATAAACTCACAATCAACAACCCAATTGCGCTTCGTGATTGACAAAAGAAGAACTCAAGGAAAGAATCTCTGAAAATAAAAGACTACAAGTCTTGAGGCTCATTATCCATTGGCCTTAATCAGACACGCTATTCATAATTCAACAAAATAAAACCTTCTCCAGAATCGAAGCACGTTTGCATCACAATATCAAGTAAATCAAGAACGCTCAGCTCGATGTTGTTGTCAATCAGTAGAATTCAATTCATCGGCCACCAAAAGAAAAAAAAAAAAAAATGAAAACACAAGCAATATCAAGGGTTACCTGATGAAGAGAAGCTCCGAGACATGGTTAATGCGAGAACCACAAAAGTTTATGAAATCATCGTATGATAGATAGTTCGGAACAGCAACAACAAAGAGGATCGTGGATTGAGAGCTAGGGTTCGGGAGCGACGAGTGCGAAATGCTACGGAATAAATGGATGATGCCTCTTCGTTCGCTGAATTTCGTATGGACGTAAGAAGCTGTACTGTTTCGTTGAGAAACGGTGCTGGTGGTTGAAGATTGCTCCGGCCAAATTCCGACGGTAAGAGGTTGGTCGGTGTCCACTGAATGTACTTGCACGAAAAACATGGCGGGGGAATTGGTTCTAGAATTTACAACGCACGGTGGCCGGAGTTAATTTATAAACATTCCATAATACTTAAATTACATGTTTAGCCTTCAATCTGTCATTATTATTATTATTATTATTATTTTTAAGAAAAACAAATGTCTACATTATTAACCCGAGTATTTATATGACTTGATAATTCAATCAATCTAGACTATCGATGGAGACGTTTTTTTTTTCTTTTCTTTTGTTGATTCATAGTCTTGTATTCAATTTCTTTATATTCTTTTTTGGTCTGGGTCTCGGTCGAGAACATAACTGGATTGTTTAGGGTTTCTCGATCTTGAATCCAGTTTAGGACATCATCTCGAAAGCACTTGAACACAAGTTTCTTTAAAAATTGGTCTCATACGTAAACCGAAAATACTTTGCGTTATTTGTAACAAACTAAACGAAACATCTAAATGTGTCATTTGGGTGTGAGGATACAATTGGCTTACAAATAATAGATTTCTAATCGCACTTGTGAACGTTTTGCTTGTTGAGCTGAACTGCTACTCCATTTCCTCTCTCGGGGTAAAAACATATGTGAGATTTCATATCAGCTTAAGGGAGAACGAAACATTGCATACAAGGGTGTGGAAACCCCTCCCTAGCAGATGCATTATAAAACTATGAGGCTGAAGACGATACATAACGAGCCAAAGCAAACAATATCTGCTAGTGGTGGGTTTGGACTATTACAAATGGTATCAGAGCCAGATCGGGGTCGTGCACCTAAATGGTGGATTGTGATATCTCATGTCAATTCGGGTGTGAAAACCTCTCACTTGCACGAGATACTTGCACGAGATTATTAGTTTATTTAAATTTGTGTGTTAATTGGGAAAATTTATAAGCCACGTCATCACAATCAACAATGGACTGGAGTGGCGCTAGCTAGAGCAACCTGGTCGAACTCTCGATCCTCGGAGAAAGCTCAAACTGCGTTCTCATGTCAAACGTCGTCGTCTTGGACAACGGCGGCGGTCTCATCAAAGCCGGCTTCGGCGGCGACTTCGATCCCTCCGTCATAATCCCTAACTGCCTCTACCGTCCTCTCTCCGCCAAGAAATGGCTCCACCCTTCTCCAATCTCCATTTCAACCACCACCGCCACCGCCGCCGCCGCTGAAGCCTCCTCCGATCTCGACCTCACATCGGCCTCGGTCCGCCGCCCCATAGACCGAGGTTATCTCATAAACCCCGACCTGCAGCGTGACATTTGGTCTCACCTCTTCACCTCTCTTCTTCACGTTAGTCCCTCCAATTCCTCCCTCCTCTTGACGGAACCTCTCTTCACTCTCCCTTCCATTCAACGCGCCACCGACGAGCTCATTTTCGAGGATTTCAATTTTGCTTCTCTCTATGTTTCAGATTCTCCTTCTTTAGTTCACTTCTATGAGGCCAGCCGCCGCCCGACGAGCCTCCTATCTAGGGCACAGTGTAGCCTTGTTGTTGACTGCGGGTTTTCTTTCACTCATGCGGCTCCAGTGTTCCAGAACTTCACTTTGAACTACGCTGTTAAACGCATCGACCTGGGAGGGAAGGCATTGACGAACTATTTGAAGGAGTTGGTTTCATATCGCGCTTTGAATGTTATGGATGAAACCTTCATCATAGACGACGTCAAAGAGAAGCTCTGCTTTGTCTCCCTTAACGTCCCCCGCGACCTCCAGATAGCGAGGTTTGCACCTATTTTCTTCCAGGGCAGGGTTTTGGAGTTTTCTAATGATTTCCCAGATGAATTTTGCTGGGATTGTTTGAAATTCCTCATTCTTTTGTTATTTTCAGACTGTCTGTTTCTTGGGAAAATGTTGGTGAAGAGATGCTAGAACACCATTTTTTCCAGGTTATGAGGCTAGTTATCTGGCTTCTGAATTTTGGTTATCCCATTGAAGTATCTGCAGATTTTCTTTTCTGTGTGCTTGCATCTTTTGTGGAAGATTTCTTATGAGATTGTTTTAGATTGTTTGTCTGTTCTTTAATCTTAGAATGGTGGATTTCCTGGTAAATATGAGCAAAGGATAGTGAAGTTCTTCAGATCATAAGGCCTTTTAGCTTCTAACTTTACTACATTGAATGTTTTTCTTTTCTTCAGTATTTTAGTAGTTGAGCTGTTTGAGTACTTGAGGCTTTGTTTATGCATCAATCTTGATCAAGAGCTATATTCTGTTATGAATTTTTGAAATAGGAAACCAGGAAAGGAAAATCTCTTCCGATGCACATATGTGCTCCCTGATGGGATTTCGTATGCAAGGGGTTTTGTTAAAAATCCAGATGAAGCTAAGAGGTACCTCTCCTTGACTGAAGAAGCCTCATCTCCATCACTTGGAGTCAAGAATGATGAGATTGAGCTAGATGTCTCAGAAAAGACTGAAAACAGGAAGAAAATTGATCTAACAAAAAATGTAAATTCTTATTCTTGTGTGAATCTATATCAAACTTCCCTTGTTTTTTAAATTCGATCTTCATGGTTTTTGCAGGAATTTGATTTGACGAACGAACGCTTCCTTGTTCCAGAAATGATATTCCATCCTTCAGATTTGGGTTCGTACAATATTCTTATATTAACGATTAATGGCTTTGGATGTGGACTCTAATCTTGATTAATCTATTTTTCTGTGTTGTTACCTGTATCTGCTGAAGAACATTCTTATTTTTCAAATAAAATTACCATCAAAATTTGGAAGGGGCAGGGGTTCTCAAAGTTCTATGTAGAAGCTTTTGAATTCTCGATTATCTTTGATCAAAGACTTGAAAAGGGAGACCTTACTATCCATCCCATTTGGACTTACTCAATCAGTTGAACAGGAATGAACCAGGCCGGCCTAGCGGAGTGCATTGTTAGAGCTGTTAGTTCTTGCCATCCTCATCTGCACCCCGTGCTCTACGAGAGGTATTTTTGTTTGCTATGTGTTGGTAGCTTCATAAACAGGCATTGATTTTCACTCCTTTTAACCTGATACTAACCATTGTACTTTCAAGCAGTATTGTTTTGACTGGTGGAAGCACTTTATTTCACAATTTTGCTGAGAGATTGTGAGTCCTCATTCCCTTGATCTAACAGTTTGTAAGTTCTTCATTCAAATAAATCAATAATTAACATTCCATGACAATTTTTCGTCTTAGAGAGAAGGAGCTCCGGCCTATTGTTCCAGATGAGTGTAAAGTGAAGATAACAACCCAAGAAGAGTAAATTATATGCCCCAAAACACACTTCTTTTTAGTTTTTATCCATTCGAAGTAGAGGCTTGACACTTATTGTAAATATTCGTGCTTTTGTTGCAGTCCCATTTTAGGGGTGTGGAGAGGGGGATCACTACTGGCATCAAGTCCTAGTTTTGAAGCAATGTGTGTTACCAAGGCCGAATACGAGGAACTCGGATCTGCCCGGTGTCGGAAGAGATTTTTACATTGAGTGCAAGCATGAAGGTCACTACTAACTCTGACCGAACTAGATCAATTATTCATGAATCAATTATACTACTGTCTAAATGGGTGCTGAATGTTTCTAGTTTTAAACCATAAAATCATTTGGATCTCAAATGATTCTAGAGAATTAAGTTGTGTAGATTTTACCTAAGTTTCTGTGCAAAAACATGATCGTGCACGTGGGAAGGCGAACTAATCGATCACTCCCTTATAGAGCTTCATCAAGGTTCCAGCAAGCTTCAGTGGCGGCTCATTCAGGCAGATAAGAAGTAAAACGAAGTTATCTTCTTCTTTAGGGAAGTAACTGTTAATTTCTTAATCTATTGGCAACCCTGAGGATCTTTCAGCTTGAGGATTCAGCCCAAGGGATGGATATAGCCAAATGTGGACTTCTAGTGATTTTTTAATGTAGTTTTTGAAAATAATGTAAAAAAAAATTGTTTCAAAAGTATTTGCAACAGTAGGCTACTTTATTCACTGCCAGAAAGAATTAAGATGATTTTTATAGCTTATCTTTTAAGAGATGATTTCCAAGGGACTTATTCCAAAATATGCATCTTTCCAGAAGATAATATATCATATATTTAGAATTATTTTAAAACCAACCCCCTCTTTAAGAATTATTCTATAAAAAGAAATAGTTAGAAAGCCCCTAATATTTCAGCCTGATTTAAGTATTGATGTTGATGTAAATATCGTGATCTCAATTTTATGAAGATGTCGTTGATATTTTATTGATATTGATGTTGATATCTCTATAGCATATTAAAAATGTCAATTCATCGCTCATATTGATTAAAGCCGAATCTCTCGGCTCGTGTTAACATCCACTCATCAATGATATATTCTATTCTTATATGTCAGTGAGCAGGCGTTTGTGGGTCAATTCTAGGCCATAGCAGGGACCAACGTTCTGATGAAAATTAAGTTTGTGTAAGAGGAGGTTGATGAAAAATCTTCATTGGACTGCCTGCAGAGGATTTACTGGAATACAGTAAGGATTTCTGCATTGGATTCGAATTACTTTTTAGTACTATTCACCTCAAAGTGTTAATAAATATTTGAACTTTTAATCTTAAGAGACGAGATATACGCCAATGTCTATGTCAACTACTGTTGAGTTATACTCGTTAGCTTCCAAATTTGATTCTCTGACTGATTAGAGCCAAGCCAAGCATGTGTGCTTGATTCTTGCTTGGGCTTTGGCTTTGGCATTGTATTCCAACATTTGAGTATGGTCTGATAGCCTCTCATAGAAAAAGTTGTCAGTCAAAAAGTTATTTACTCTGTTTCTGTTGTCCTGAATCTGTTTCGCTTGGACACTTGTAGATGTATAATTGCTTTGCTGGTGTACCATTTGGCATTCAATCTCTGAATGATGCTGTCTGTCACATTAATGCTTGGTTGATCTTGACATTTTATTGTGCCTGTAATCAGGGAACATTTTTTTGTTTTTGTTTTGTAAACCCAGTTTCTGGTTCTTCTTAAAGTTATTCTTATTGCCATTTGTACCCAAAATCATATTTGTTGGAAGATAATTCTCGCAAAAGTAAACATTTTCTCGTAACGAGTTTGTATTTTCGCTTTTGTTGTTTGAAATTTATAGATCATGTTTCTTTCGAGGAAGAAAGAGGCTTTCACATGTGACGATTGAAGAAATGAGAAGAAAAGACTTTTTGTTCAAGGACTAGTGGAATCTGACTTGTTTTTCTTTTTCAACTTCATCAAGTACAAAGGTGAAAAATCGAACTTTTAACTTTGGTTTCTTATCTATCGAGCTGTCCATTGATTAACATTACTCGATATATTTATTGAGCATCGATTGAACTTACGAATGATTGTGTTGGCTAAGTTCTCTAGTAATTTATTAGAAATCAATTTGGGCTATTCGGGAAATTATAATGGAATACCAAAGACAAAAGTAAACTTTATAGAGAGGCAAGAGCAGAGAGGACCAATGTTCATAAACATGTTCGTTTGGCCGTTTGCCCTAAAATAATGTATCTTTAGTACATCAAACCTATTAGAAAGAAACAAAATCATGTGTCACTATATATATGTATGTGTGTATATATATACTTAGAAGTCTTTTTTACTTTTTTTTTTTTTAATTATGCTTAATAAATTCTTTATAATAGATGTTTCGGCCCTAAACATGAACTCCCGCTCAAAGATGAAAACCAAATCTAAAAACCGCGATACCCACGAAAGATGAAGATAGTTGTGGATGGAACTAAAACATGATGTTGCAACCTCTTCTTCATTGTCTATGATTTCGTCGTTGTTATCGTCTACAATCCCGTCTTTGTCACTATCGTCTATGTCACATGGAACCTTTGGGAATTGTTTGAACACATCGATGAAGAGATCTCGACATTTGGGTCCCGTCACTTATCCTTCCCTTATCCAAATATTAGGACTATTCACTCATCTCTCTTTTTTAAAAGAAAGAAAAATCTTCTCTTCCTAATTTCATTGAGCATACTAAAGGAAAGGCAAGTGCAATAATTGATCAAACAAGAGTTGACTTTAAATTTGTTTTTATTATTTTATTATGAATGGAAAAAAGTAAAAAAAAAAAAAAAAAACTAATATGTATTTTTTAACGGGTCGAAGTATATGAACGTTATGGATTGATTATATCAGTAAAAAAAATTAACGACAATATTTATATTGGTACTAGATTTTTTCGATAGAATCCCAAAAGTAAATATATACCACTTAGGTCTAAAACAGACAATATCATGTCATTATGTAGGTACAGTTAAAGGTCAACATGAGCACAGTGTCACGGTCATGCTCGTCCAAGGCGTGTTGCCCATGGCCGCATGCCCATGACAAACCCAACCCTTTATGTCTTTTCATATTCTAGTGTTTTACTTTTGTATTTCTAGGAAGTATGACGTTTCAGAAATATCATGTTTAGGCCTGTCAGATATGAAATGCCTTAGAATATACTATAGGGGGATACGACTAGTTGTCAACTTCGGTAAGCCGTTGTTATTTCTCTCTTGCTTGCTTATATAACGTTTCTTTAAAAAATCTATCTCTACCCTCGTTTTCTAAAACCTTCTCTTAAAACCGAGGTCAAAGGCTCGAGCATACGTCGCTTGGCCCTAGGCGACGCAAGAACGAATTCGCTTAGCTCACTTGTCGTTGGAAAGTAAATGCCGCACAATCGCACGTCCGCTGCCATTAAAAGTGCAATTGTGACACACAGCTCGATGCTTAATTAAGACACCAACTACTGTATTTGAGATCACACATTCAAATTTCCGCCTTTTCATATCTGATAAACTAAAAGAAAAGAATTGAGTACGAACGTTAAAAATCCAAAAAAAAATTAATTTATTCATATAAAATAACGAGGCTCGAAAAGCATAACGTTCGAGTGGATAAAAAGAGAGCTTGGTTTTGTGACAATAATGGTCAAAGTTTGGTATTAGAATCTTCTATTCTTTGTAATGAATATAATTGATGTTGATAGTGCTTTGTACATTATTTGTCTTTCAATTAAATGTTTTTTTTTTCTTCACCATATAATATAAATAAATATATAATATATTATATAGAGGAAATCCTTTATCATATGGTAATTTTTTAATAAAAAATCCCAACCTCATATGTGTAATTATTTCATTGTCACATATTTTTAAGATAATGTTTATTCAACCATTTATTGTGGTCCACTTCACTTCCCAAATAATCAAAAGAAAATAAATAAATAAATAATTTCACTTTTAAATTTTTAAATATTTTTATTGTGTATTTGGTCTTAGCAACTCGAATAGAGTTCACAACTTAACTCGACTTATCTTTTATTTTCGAGTTGGGTTAGGTTGGATCGTCGGGTTGTCTTTTTTTTAATTATTTTTAAAAAAATCATATTTATACGTAATATACGTTACATTATTAATTAAAATTTTATAAAACTCAAATATTAAATATTCGCATGTCACACGATACATCACTAATATCGATTAGAAATGTTAAATGTTTTTAATTTTCATAATAATTTTAAATGAAGATACGGATGGACTGTAACCCTATTTTCAAGTATCGAGTTGACCCGACCAAGAAAAAAGTCAACCCACAAACCAGCTCGAGTTTTTAGTTTTCCAAAAATTTAACTCAACCCAGACTNAAAAAAAAAAAAAAAAAAAAAAAACCAACGAACCTCTGAAAATTCTCTCGAGGTCAAAAATTCCGATTTCTTTGCCCCACCATTATCGTGCTCAAAAAGAAAACCAGAACCCGAACGAAAAAAATATTATTTCCATATAAACTTCTCAAAACTAAAGTATCATATTCTTTTTTTTCTTTTGAAGTATAACAGTTTTTTGAATTATGCTCGAGAATTATTTTTAGGGACGGTCTCATTTAAACTATGAGACATCAAAGTTAACATATCTCAACAGTAATTGACTGGTTCTTTTTTCGGTGAGGTTTGAGGATCAATTTTTTCACACTCCCATTTATTATACTAAAAAAAATGTTGAGTTAACTCATATAATAACATGATTATAACGAAAAATTATTAATACCAAAAATACTCGAGAATAAATTGTAAAATAATTAATAAAAAGGTCGAGAATCTAATTTATAGATGAAAAACGGTGGGACCTTGGAATAAAGAATATGAAGGAGAGTATTTCATTCCAATATTTTAGTAAAGTACTACATATATTAAAAAGTTTCGTTTTTTTTAATACGACCATAATGTTCTTCGAACTCTTTCATTCTCACATATTTAACGTGTTTTTCTTTAAATTTTGAAAGCGTTTTTGAGCTCCAAGTTCTGGCTTGTTATGGGGCGGGACGAGGAAGCCTTTTCAGTCCCTATCTCTGCCTCCTTCATTCATTTTCACCTGATAGAAATTTTCCTATATATATAACGAGCGGGATGGGACGGAGATCTGGCGAGGTTATGTGAAGTGATAGAGACAAGAAATAAAAAACCTATCCCTGTTCTCGTTTAGCTAACATGGAGACAGATATCTCTCTCCGCTCCATCATTACTCACTTAAATAGTAATTTTCTACCCTATTCGAGGCGAGTTCTCGTGAAGCCCTGACCCTACGGGTTAAATGAACATCTCTACTTTTAATTATTTGGATCGAGAAGTTATAAGTTTGAACTGTGATAAACACAAACGTCTCGTTCTAGACCATCCAAAAGCAAAAAGCAAAGATGGGGTAGTTTGAAGTCTCCCCAAGTTGAAAAGGGGAAAGGGGACAGAGAATGAAGAGAGAAAGAGGATGGGTTTGGCACTTGGGCAGTTTGAGCTCCCTGTAGAAATGGACTTGTCATGAAAAGAGGGGAAAAAGATGAATGCTCAAAGCGCAGAGAAAAAGGAAGGGGGGGAAAAGAAGAGGGCTTTGGAGGTCGCCCACTGTGATGCCTTTTTCAGAGTGGGGACATCAAATGAGACATGAGAGAGTGGGTATGGCATGCAATGTCAGGGGCTGTGTCATTCGCCACTGCCACCACCACTTACAACCATTACAATGCTCTCTTCTTCGAAATCGACGTGAGATGAGGAGAACGAAGGGTTCTTTGTAAATGTGTGAAAACCTCTCTTTAGTAAACGTGTTTTAAGAACTTCGAAACGGAAAGTCCAAAGAGGACAATATCTGCTGTTGATGGGCTTAGGGCGTTATAAATGGTTTCAAAGCCAGACATCATGCAATGTGCCAGCAAGGAGGCTGAGCCTTGCAGGAGGTGGACAGAAGGCGGTGTGCTAGTAAGGATGCTAGGCTTTGAAGAACGGGGAATTGGTGGGGGGTCCCACATCAGTTGGAGAAGGGAACGAGTGACAGTGAGGATGCTGGGTCTCGAAGGGGGTGGATTGTGAAATCCCACATCGGTTGGGGAGGGGGATGGAACATCCTTTATAAGGGTGTGGAAACTCTCCATACACCAGTTGGAGAAGGGAATGAGTGGTAGCGAGGACGATGGCCTCAAAGGGAGGGTGGATTGTGGGAGGAGAATCAAGCATACTTTATAAGGGTGTGGAAACTCCCCACATTGAGGACGTTGAGCCCCGAGGGGAGAGTGGATTGTGAGATCTCACATGGGATGGGGAGGAGTATAAGGGTGTGAAAACTCCCACATCGATTGTTGTAAGTGCGTGGAAACCACTCTCTAAGAGTGAGCTCGAGCCCTTAGAATCCCATTTCAAACAAAACCCATTACTTATTTGGAAGCAAAGGCTATGAATTGGGTGAAAATGGAGAGACCCAGATGAAAAAAAGGTAATATTTTGAAGGTAGAAATGGATTGGATTTGAAATTTGGTTTGCT